ATTAAGTTACGAACACGTATACAATAATCTAATGTAATCATAATAGTATTTTGATTTCCTACAAGTGCCATATTCGTTTCGAAGGTAGGCAATCATCATAGCCAACCTCTGATGATGACGATGCTGCTCTGAAAAGTTGGCGCAAATTTCAGCAGATTATACTTTTTCCATGACTTGGTCTAGGTACTAAAGATTTCGTCTTATAATGTTTAATACTAATTTTTTCAATTCGTCTTACTACGTCCGTATTGGTAACTTTATCTGTCCGTGATATTTTTAATATTCTTCTGTATAACCGTAGTTCAAAAGATTCAAGTTTCTTTAATGTCCAGGCTTCCATTTCTTACAGGATACATTGAATATGTAGCCCCTCACTAAGCATATCTTTAATTTTAAGTTTAAATTTTTACTGCCGAATGGAAAGAAATAATTTTAATTATAACAAATGAAAATAACTAGTAGGCTAGTTCTATCTTTTTTCTAACAAATATAACATTTTTCTGTTTACATATACATCTTTATGTATATAAATGGTAGTCAATTCATTTCATATGTTTTCCAAAGATGAATTTCATAAAGAAAACTTCACTAGTGTTAATGTTAAAAATAAGTTTTTGCCCGTTGCCTTTGTAACCCGAATGGTATCTAAAATCTTCAATTAAGTTTTGAGGCAATGCTATAACTAACAGACATTTTAACATCCAATGAATCCAGCAACGATTAGCATAACTTTCTCAGCTATTATAAAATATAGTTTTTAAATAAAATCTCACTTTATTAATCATAATAAAGAAAATTGCGTGTGCAGCCATCTGTTACGAGGTTTTATTATAAAATCTTTATATATTATTAATTCTTATAAGATGACAAAAGCTCAATTTTTAGGATAGCGACAACTTTTATAAATAAATTATAATGATAACACGAGTAAAACCTTCATTAAGTCCGATCCCTCTCTAGATATGACAGGTGATCACCCACTATCTCCTCATTCGCTTGATCTTTAACCACCAAAATTTTACAGAATTAATCTACCATATACACTAGGCACCATTTCAAATTTCGTTCGTAAATTTTTACCCCAAATTTTAAATGTAATAGAAGACACCACACGTCTAACTTTCCTTAGCCCATTAAACTAAATCGATTATAATCAGCACCTGAAACACACTATTAAACAGTAAAACTGTATAGGGGATAACGAACGTTATATTCATTCGTTTATGTTTAGTATTAAGCATTAATCGTGTTTCAGAAATAAATATATTTTATACGGAAGTAATTTAAATTCGCATATCGATTATTTTATTCTATAGTTATAAAATGAAGATCAATATTATAATCGTACAACAGTACAGCATAATATGAATCTGTCGGAACTTACATAATACAAATTCTGAAGCCAATTCATAATAAATGAATATAAAATAAAACGTAGACATAGGGTTATAATGCAGATACATTCATATCGTCAAGCAGATATAAGCAAGCCGTAGCACTTTACTAAGCGACTAATTAACATCATGCAATACACAAATCATTAGGTAAAATGGCAGATAATTGCGTTTATTGCATGTTATGTCCCATACTAAATATCTCTGCACTTTTCAGCGATATAATTTTACGAACACCAACAGCTTAGCGAGAAACACAAAAAAATGGCTGACAATTTATGGAAAATTTCTACATGTAATAATTGTCGTGAAGTTGACAACGTTAACAATACAGAGATTTAAAACAGACGACGATCCATTGTTTTGTAGTCCGGTCGAAAATATCGCAGGAAGTGGTTTAAACAATCCTTTTCTTTTCAGCATGGTTTATCTTGCAGACATTGCCACGCTGATAATGCTTCGTGCCGGCACAAAATTTAAATTATTTCTCGATTTGAGAATTTCAGGTTATGGCGAGGAAAAGGAAAGAATCCAAAAATGGCAGATAGGCACGACTTTTCTATGTGGCTGTACGTACATTTATATATTAATAGATAGGTCGTTTTTTTATTTTACATATTTAAAGCAGTAGAACAGGAAACAACTTGGATACGGGCTCTCCTCTGTTCTGTTTTTATTCATTACGTAATGATTTTGCAATTAGGCTTACTACTGTGGCTCATTACTGTAATTTTATTAGTAAGCATAATGATGTACGAAAGATTTAATGCAATATCGCGGCAGTTGAATTTGGCTGTAAGACAGAATGCAAAATGTGAAATTAATAATATAATGCGAAAACATTTGGAAATCTGCGAAATAGTTGATCAAATAAACGATGTATTTGGTAATTTTTGCTTTGCTATACAGTAGACCCCCCATATAACGCTTAGATACATTCCACGTTTATCGAATTTTACGTTGTCGGAATCATTAAATACATGAGCCAATCGCAGCCCGATAGGTGTGAAGTTTACAGACTAAGGCTGTTTGAAAGGATTTCTTCTATAAAATTAACTAATTCTAGACTAATTCCACTCAACATTTTCAAAAGACGTATAATTTTTTGGGAATAATCTGTATAAACTATGCTATAAACAAAAATTTATAGGATTACTTACCGAGTGTGCACCGTTCAACAACGCAGTTGCTCAAAGCTTGTTTTTATCGCGGAACAGCACACAAAACGGTGGCAGCGATTTCTGATAACAAATTTTTCGCAGAAAAATAACTTGACCTTTGGAGACATAATTAATATAAATAATTTTTATGGCTGTTGAATAAGAAATGTTTCTTTCACAAGAAATGTATAAGATTACAGTACTGTATTAGACTTACGGTACCTAATTTACATACTGTACAGACGATAGTAAACAACTTACTCGCCTAAACTTTCCATAGCATGGCACTGGACAGCGGAAAGTATATATATAATTATAATAAAGTTACAATAAATTAAGTTAATATACAATTATATATACGGTACCTAATTTATATATAATTAATATATAATTATATGTACAGTACCTAATTTATATATAATTTATATATAATACTGTATAGATGATAGCAAACTCAATTTAGCTGGTCCGTAGGGTGGCGCAGGGCGGAGGAAAGTAGTTCGGCTGCTCATCGACTATTGGTGCAGATTCTATCAATCTTGTCGCGAAACGACTCGGCGACGACGTTTTACGAGCACCTTTATACGAATGTTGCTATAATTTTTTCGTTACGTTATAGGAACGCACGTTATAGGGGGTCGACTGTATATGGAATTGCCGTTTATATCGTGTCAATCACTTTCTATAACACAATATTCACTACGTCAGCTACATACGTACGAATATTTCTCGTACTTTGCTCTACTCTCTGCGTTTGTTTGGTGGTAACGATTTCGTTTGTGGTTTCTCGTATCTTCACTTCGATAAGTTCGAAACAGAATAAATTTGAAATATTAATTTTAATTAAGTGTAAAATAAAAAATTGTCAATGTAAGTACATCAGTGTAAATTCATTATCATACTTATCTTAAATTGTAATTTACGAACAACAGGCTTATGACTCTTTGTAAGAGATTCAAAAATTTAATTCGATTTCTCTTCCGTTGGAAGTCAATCTCAAGGTAACTTAACAGTCTAAATTTCGAAATTAAGAGCAAATTTTCACGCAGCTAATTATAATTATTTACAGGCGTTGAATTTTATAAAAAAGTTTCGAGAAAATGAAATTGGAATCGGTTGTGAAAGATTTTTTATTTTTTCTACAAAATTTCCAATTCAGGTATTTGTATAAGATTACAATGGTTGATTGTATGAATGTTCATAACATTTAAAGTAATTTATACATAAATTTTTCAAATATTAATGTAATAAAGTATTTTCATTGCATAGGTGTACCAATCGCTGTATAACGTTTTTTAATATATTACTTCAGATACGAGATATTTTTGAGGGAATTGACAAATCATGTATACCAGTCACAAAACCATTAAGTAATGGAGAGGTTGCGGTCGACGTTTTCAACGCGAAATCGTGTACGTCGGACGTTCAGCTCCGCTTTCCTGTAAGCCTAGAAGTTTGACAATGGTGTTTGGGTATTCAATGGATTCATGCTCGACATTCCAAACACCATTGCCAAACTTTTAGGTTTTTAGGAAAGCGGCGCCGAACGTCCGACGTACACGTTTTCGCGTTGAAAACGTCGGCCGCAGTCTCTCTAATGCCACTAAAAGTCCGAACGTGTACTTGAATACCGTGTAATGTAGAAGAATTTACACGAATAGCACTATTGGCCTATATGAATTGTATAGATTTGATTTCTTTTCGAACAATAGCTTTGTAAACTGATTCAGTAACGTGTTATCTGCAGAAGCATGTTAATCAGTGATTACGTCACGATCTCTCGTATCAGTATAGACTAGCATTATGATTGCTACATCAATCGTAATGAGTGGTTTATAAATTTTGGATTGAGAAAATTATTTTTTAATTTTTCTCAATCTAACTTCGAATTGCCCTTTACTCTTTCTTAATATGTATAGGCGACTATAAAATTCATTTATAATTTTTTTTTTATAAATTAAAGTATCACTCACTTTTTATAACTCGAATTTTTATGTAATAAATTAAAATGTTTATTTTTACAATGTTTTAATAATTTTTTAATTAAAGTTTAATAAAACACGAATTTATGTTAACTTCTATTTACTGAAATTTAAATAAATATGTTGTCAAATTAGCTATAAAATTCTTGAAAATCATATGGATTGCAAATGTTATTTTTATGATAATTTATGCAAATTATTCAGCAGTTCATTCGTCCGAAGCTAAAAAATAACAAAAGGGCTGATTGTAATTTAAAAGATGCATTATGCATAGTTTCAGAAGAGAATCGCCAGCTTAAACAGAAACTAAAGGAAAATTCGTGGATCTTAGCAAGCACTAGCCATGCGACCTTACGAAGTTATCATTTAAAAACTTTTTTCGCCCTTCAAGAGACAGTGTTTTCTGATCTATCCAAACGATGAAACAATAGAAATAAACTGTAATTAAGAAGTGAAATAAAATACATTTTATTCTTCCCCCGTAATTTTTAGCTGTTATGAAATGAACACAAAACGCACCTATTGCTACGTTTTACTATATTTTAAATATATATATATATATATTTTTTAAATGTAAAATGAACTTTCTGATATTACGTCTTTGTATATTAGTAAATTTAAATAAAATTTGAAAAAAGAGTTGGTCGAAATTGCATATACTGTACATTTTAGACATCATCTCACATTTCGTAATGGACATGGCATACGGAAAATAACATTTTATGTAACAGGTGATAATAACAGAAGGTTGATCGCGTTCCATAATGCACCAAAATTTAAGTTTACTAATTGAAGAAAAGTAAAACAAACAATTGTAAAATACTGTACATATTTATCTGTAGTCCTGAGTTGCAAACTTCTAGTGCTATAGTCTTAACGTACAGAGATTTTCCGTGGATAAAAATCAATAAAGACACTATTTAAAATTTATAAAAACAATTATTTTAGATTTAACAGCATTTTCAGAAATTTATCAGCAAAACGTAACAATAATAGGAATTAAAATTATAGAAAAAATTTCTGAATTACATTAAAGTTAAAAAAAAAATTACCTGTTACAATCGACAACTAAAGCAGAAGTTACAATTATTCCAACATTTTTCTTTTACTGTTTTCTTCTATTCGGAGCTATTTACACATTGTTGATCTTTACCGTTCATTGTGCATCAAATGCCAAATTATTGAGTGACGTCCGGCTTGAATCGATGGTTCTTGCACGTTTTTTAGTTAAAGCTTCTATTGCATTCATGGTTCTTAAAAGTCAGGAGTAGAGGGATCAGCTTGCATTCATGGTTCCTGCACGTTTTGACTAGAAGGATCAGCTTGCATCCATGGTACCTGTACGATTTGAGTAAAAGGATCAGCTTGCATCCATGGCTCCTGCAGATTTTGAGTAGAAGGATCAGCTTGCATCTATGGTTGTTGCACGTTTTGAGTAGAAAGATCAGCTTTCATCAATGGTGCCTGCACGTTTGGAGTAGTAGCATCAGCTGGCATCCATGTGTCCAGCAGGTTTTGAATAAAAAAATCATCTTGCATCCACGGCTCTTGCAGGTTTTGAGTAGATGGATCAGCTTGAATCGATGGTGCCTGCACGTTTAGAGTATTAGGATCAGCTTTCATCAATGCTGCCTGCACGTTTGGAGTAGAAGGATCAGCTTGCATCAATAAAGCCTCCACGTTTTGGGTAGAAGGATCAGCTTGCATCCACGGTTGTTGCACGTTTTGACTAGAATGATCAACTTGCATGGATAGTCCCAGCTCGTTTTGACTAGAAAAATTAGCTTGCATCCATGGTGCCTGAACGTTTAAAGTAGTAGCATCAGCTGGCATCCATGTGTCCAGCAGGTTTTGAATAAAAAACTCATCTTGCATCCACGGCTCTTGCAGGTTTTGAGTAAAAGGATCAGCTTGCATCGATTGTGCCTGCACGTTTGGAGTAGAAGGATCAGCTTGCATCAATGCTGCCTGCACGTTTTGAGTAAAAGGATCAGCTTGCATCCATGGTTGTTGCACGTTTTGAGTAGAAGGACCAGCTTGCATCGATTGTTGTTTCAAGAATTGAGTGGGAGGTACTAAAAATTCGTGTCCCCTGTAGTGCTGCAATAGTGTTTCTTCAGTTGCAAAATCTGCAGGACAAATTGTACATTTATACGGTTTTTTTGCATGAATTTTCAGATGAGCAAGCAAAATCTTTTTAGTTTTGTAACCTCGAGAGCATCGTTCACAAATATAAGATTTCGTTTTTGGGTGGACGTCATTTATGTGTTTTTCTAAATGTGTTTCTCTTAAAAATCCCTGTAGGCAGATTTTGCATCGATGTTCTTCCAATGTATGATTTACTTGATGAGAAAGAAATAAATGTTTGTCATGAAAAATCATATCACACGCTATGCATTTATACATCATTTTTCTTCTTGGAAAATCTGTAAAAACGTAAAATTACTGTAATGAAATTACAAATAATAATTTTATATAATGATTTCAAAAGTAATATAACACTGAAGAGCGAAACAGCAAAAATAAAAACAAATTAGTCGTTTAAAGTTATTGAGGTTCACAACAACAAATAAATTCACCTTACATGAAAATCAATTTCGCAGGAAAAAATAAAAACATCAACAAAATAAAAAAAATTATATTTTATAACTTTTGCAGTCACATATTTTTACGTTTTCATTGTTATAGATGAAGTACAAACAGGATAACCAAAACCAATTTTAAAGTTTTTTAAGTACTATTAAATTCATTTACAACTATTAAAGAGTATAAATTTTAGTTTAACGCTTAAGTAACAAAACAGTAAAATAGTATATAAAGTAATCATTTTATGTAGCTAACTTAATGAGAAACGTAGGACTACTTTTCTCAGACTATACATATTTTTAAAAAAGTTTCTTTTATTATTAAATGGATTGATAGAAAGTAAAATGAACTGTACAAGCTTATGCTCAGACATTAAGTTTAATTATTCACATCGATAATTAATGGTGTTAAGGTTAAATTTAAAGTGGTTTTAATATTTGAACTAGAAGCACCCACTATAACTGCATTCGTTTAAAGTGGAGAGAAGCAAGAAGCAAAAAAAACCATGCTTAATTGTTTGCTTACAATGCTATTTAATTATAAATATGTACAAATTGTACACTACTATTTTATTTACACATTGCTTAATCTGTGCTACTTGAAATCTTATCATTAAAAAGATATTAATTAGAAAGGAAAGCTTAAATCATCGAGTTAAACAGATTGGATGAAAAAAGAAATATTTGTGAGACATTGTCTTAATGTTTAGTATTAATTTGATTTTAGAATATAAATTACTGTAATACATACCTTAACTCTTTCTTAATTTACGACGTACCAAGCTGGAAGTTCCTTCTACACAAGTGTTATTTCATGTACGGTTTAAATAACCATAAAAGTACTTTAATTGTGTTCATGAAAAATGAGTAAAATATTTATTTTTCGTAAGTAAACTAGTTGCATTTTATTTCGGTTTTTATAGAAAGAATAATAATGTTCATGGTTTTTAAAAAATTATTAATATATTATTAATTTACATTATTACATAGCTTACCGGTACTGTGTTGAAGTCAACACGAGAATCTAACAAAATTTTTTCTTTTGTTGAAATTAATTTAAAATATATATTTAAATATAATATTTTTATATTACATATTAATTGATTGAAAATATTCTTCAATTAAAAAATTATTTACGTTAAAATTGCACTTAGTTCAACATCATTGAATTTTTTTTAGCAAACTTTGCATTCTGCAGTAATTTTCTGATTTAAATTTTAACGAATGGTTTTTTATAATTTTAAACATGTAACTTTTAAAATTATGAAAAATACAAAATTCTTACAAAATTTGCATTCGAAATTCTTTTTTCAGTTTTGATTAATTAAACGAACATCATTAGTCATCACCAGACTTAGGTCAAAAACAATGGAGCGTTAACTGATAATCTGCTTTTTTGTAAAACAAACGAATTACGTAATATATTAAAATGGAATATAAAATAGTACGAAAATATAAAACAGTACGAAGAAATATAAAACAGTACGAAAATAATAAAATTTATAAAATCAAAACTTATACCGTCGCATATTTTTACATTTCAATTGTTATAGATGAATTACAAACAAACAGGATAAAAAAATCCTAGTTTAAAGTTTTATAAGAACTGTTATATTCATTTCCCACTATTAAGTAATATAAATTTTAATTTAACGCTGAACTAACAAAACAGTGAAATAGTGTATAAAGTACCTATTTTCAGTGGCGTACCGTGGATGTCAGCTGCCCAGGGCGGAGGAAAATTTCGGCCCTCTCTTATTTAGGTATTTCAATTTAAAAGACAAAAATTCAGTTTTGTCACAGAACAAATAATGAAAAATACAGTGGTAGTGCAGCGACCTGTTTAAAATAGTTCTATTGTATATTAGTGGTGTATATGAACGAGAATGAATCGTACAAGCGAAATAAAAAATAAAAAAGAAAGAAAAAAAAAGGTCAACAGGTTTCGCAGGATTTCCTTGGATGAAAAAATTACTAGTTCACCCGGACGGCGAGCCGATTCCCGGACTGTCCGGACGATAGCACTATCGTAGGCGCGATGCAAGTATAGATTAGGATGTTTCAAATTTTTACAAGATATTATTATTATTTATTGTGAAATTTTGCCGCCCCCTAAAAAGTGTTGCCCGGGGCGGGCCGCCCCTACTACGGTACGCCACTGCCTATTTTATGTCACTAACTTAATGATAAACGTATGACTTCTCTTTTCAGACTATTCATATTCTTAAAGAAGTTTCCTTTATTATTATTCCCATTATTAGGTGGAGTAAAATAAACTAAAAAAAACTAATGCTTAGACATGAAGTTTAAACGTTTACATTGTCAACAATCAATGATGTTAAGATTCAAATTTAAAAATCGTTTTAATGTTTGAACCAGAAGCACCCACTTTAACTGCACCCGTTCAAAGTGGAGAAAAGCAACAAGGAAAAATCATGCTTAATTGTTTGTTTACGATCCTATTTAATTATAAATATGTACAAATTGTAACTATTATTTTATTTACACTTTGTCTAATCTGTTCTACTTGAAAACGTATCATTAAAAACATATTTATTAATAAGAAACGTTTAAATCTTCGAGTCAAACAGATTGGATGAAAAACAGAAATGTTTGGGAATCATTGTCTTAATGTTACGTGTTAATTTGATTTTAGAATATTAATTACTTTATACATACCTAAACTCTTTGTTAAATTACGACGTGCCAAGCTGAAAGTTCCTCCTACACAAGTGTTACTTCATCTACGGTTTAAATAACCATAAATGTATTTTGTGTTTAAGAAGAAAAAGTAATATCTTAATTTTTTTAAATAAAATACAGTTTTATTTTCAATTCGGTTTCACATTATTAATTCGGTTTTTGTAAAACCGAATTAATAATGTTTCAAGGTTTTTGAAAAGTAATTATAATATTATTAATTTACATAATTTCTTATCTTACCGGTAATGAGTTGAAGTCAACAAGAAAGTATAACGAAACATTTTCTTTTGGCAAAATATGTATTTGAAAAATTCTTAAATTACAAAAAATTATTTACGTTAAAATTAATGACGTTGCACTTAGTTTAACGTCATTCAGTTTTCTCAGAAAACTTTGCATTCTGCAGTAATTTACTGATTTAAAGTAGAACGAATGTTCCTTATTTAAGCTGAGTTCTGAAAAATTTGTTTGTGGAATTTGAAATGAGTGCCTTTTTAATCTAGTGCATTCATGAATATTTTCATTATTCCAAGTTTTATATACAGTAAAAAAACAAGATTTTTTTGGGACGAACTAAAATATTTTCTGTACGTTAGCTTGAAACAAACAGAACAAACTTTTTGTGAGCCAATCTATAAGGGGTCCACCACTGGCACTTCAGTAGCCAAGCGGTCCGTTCCCCGAACACTACTAGTTTTGTCGTGCGTTTCCGGCCTTGCCAGAACGGGTTGGTTACGTTGAGTTTTCCAGGTTTTCTCCACGCCTGTAACACCTGACTAAAAGCCAGTTACCGTTAAAAAGTTCTCTTGAAAGGCATCTTTCCTAGGCAGATCGACGAAGTGTTGCGTTGCTGTAACTTAATAAACAAAGTATTACTTTAAGGTAAAATTTTGTGTTATTATATTATACCAAAGACAAAGAAATCGACAATAAATGGTAAAACTATTCCGAAATCTTAATAACTGCTTATAACATTTAAGTTTCCATATATTTGTATTTGAACACGAAGTCTCTGTACGAAGTATTTTTAGATTTCTTACTACCACAACTCAAAAATCTTATATGCTAAGATATTTTTAACATCATTATCATATTTAGCGCATACAAATTAACAGAAGAAATAAAAAAATACTCCTTTTCTTAGAGTCACAAAATGGCTGTAAACTAGTGTTTTTATTTTGAATAATTAAACTGATGCTAGATTACGTTAAAGCCATCATAAATAAGGAACATCGTCTTTTTTTATTTATGATGGCTTTAACGTGATCTAGCACTAAGTTTTGTATCAGTTTATTACTCACAATATGAATGATTTATTCAATTAATAATATTTTCCTAATAATTTTTGAGCACACATTTTTCTTTTCTTCAATAAACTGCATATTATCTTTAGATCCGTGTGTAAATGGTGTGGTGGCAACGTTAACTTTTAAATGCTCATAAATTTTGATATGTGTGAGATAAGCAGGGGGTCAGGGGTTAATCCCTTCTTACCGTTTAATTTGCACGGGCTGGTAAAACCCGATTTCGAGGTCGTTGGATGACTAGAAGGGCAAATCGAGTGGGGAAACCGTCCGTAAGTCGGCAGAGGTCTGCGGACAAACAAAAGACAAAGTTTAACCCTTAACTTGTTTTGTGGGAGCCACGCGGTCCCCACGCGTCATATTTTTGCGATTTTCTAAAAATATAAGCATCGTGTGTAGCTGCCATTTTATGTATTTGGGTAAAACGCTACGGGTGCCAAACGTTCGGCGCTGTAGCATTTACCAGGATGGAGCTATGTACTTTCTGGGGTTGCGCGGCCCCCAAAATACCAGTTACATTAGTTTTTTGTTTTTTTCATTTTTACAATCATTTTACAAAGATATCGCAACCTTGCATCGAAAATTGAAATGACTACCAAAGAATTATTTGAACTGCTAATAGATGATAATATTATACAAATTATTAGATCAAGCCGAAATCTTCTGAAAAAAGTATGTAGTCATTTTTGTTGTAGAAAAAGATGGTAAAACTTCTACTAAGTGTAACAGTTGTTTGAAATTTATTTGCAAAGTGCATAGTACCACAAAATACTATGTGGTAAGTGTCAAGACTGAACTACGTAATTCGTTAAAATGTTCCCGAGTCTTAAAAGAAGTGATTATATTACACGTGGTTTTTTTAAACAAATGGTAGTTAAATGCTATAAGAGTTACTTTTTTGTAAGATTAGTTTCTTAAGAATAAGAAAAAATTATTTTTGTTAAAAATTTTCAGTAGGGTAGATTTTCGTATTGTTGAAAAAAGCAAACACCAAAAGTTTTAACAGTTTTGTAATCTCTTTTAATAAAATTAAGTAAAAAACATTATATGAATAAATAAGAGTTGATTATACTAAACGAGTGTTTTATTTAGCATTTATGCACTTTTATGCTGTGACATTGTTCAAACTTGCTCTCTAGAGGCAAATTTTGCTTTAGGGCAGCGCATCCTCACAATACCAGTTACGTTTGTAAAATTCACGATTCTAGGTAAGGGTTAACATAACAAAATGTAAAATTTATTGTAAACTAAATCTAGAAAATTCAGATCTATAAACGGATAAATGCGGTTACGAATTGAAGTAAATAAGTGCGGTTACGGATGCGAACAAATAAATCCTTTCAAAATGCGTGCTTGACTTGATTTCCCTATTTTAATGCTTTTTAGGCAGAGAAAGAGTTTACAAGTTTCAGCCCCCTTTAAATACCTCTTAAGAGTATTGGAGAGTCGATGTGGAGAACTTTATTCATATGGACAAGTCGTCATGGATGGGTTGCCAACCGATGTGTTGCCAACCGATGTGTTTTTCCCTTTTTGGGTCCAGTTTAGGTTATGGAGGTCCGGAAGATGAAATTCACACAGCGACCAATTGACGTCCTGATTATTTGCTTCCCTGAGCTTCCGGTGAGTTTCTTTTTTATCACTTTACAGGTGAGAAAGGGGATCACGTGTTTGTCAAATGTTAACAGTTACAGTGCCAAGTTGCCAGTTATGAGTTAATTTTTCCATCGGATTGTTATGACTAATATTAACTTCTGGAATTGTGTTGTTGTGTCAAATTTGTTTACAAATTCCTTGACAAATTCAAATTTCCGACAATCGCGTAAAAACCCGGATTTCACATTGGTGTATCTGGCAGAAAAAAATGTTTAACTTAAAAGTGTGCCTTCAGATAAAAACATAATATAAAAAATGAAGTAAATGACATAATCGCATCATCAAACAGTATCAAATACTAACTTTTTTATTCTCTCTATTATTATTTACTTGAAAATACATTCGGCAAATAGTGTGAATCATTTCGGCTTATAATAAGAATTGTCACAGTAGACACCAAAAAGTGTGCGATATTGTATCATTATTTCCTAAATTTAACAAGGATTCTAAAATTGTCAATTGAGAATTTTGAAAATGTTCCATAGATTTCAACTGAATGTTAAAAATAAAACGAAAATTAAAATATTTAAAAGGACAATTACGCAACAAGCAAAAAAACATTAGTATGCTGAAATCTATGACTAAATAATCAGTAAGAATATTATTATATATAACTCAACCTTTTCATTTTTTCTGATATAATGTATTAAAGTTTATTATTAGAGAATTTGCATGCATTTAAAATAAATTACAATTAACACTATATTATATAAAACAAGTTGTTATACAGTATAATATTTCTAGAAATGTAATTAAACATAATACGTATTGTGAATTATTGTTAAGCAAAGTATTTGCAGAAAAAAACAAATAACTTCAAATATAATCCAATCTCTTAATTGAATTTCATTTAAGAAATGAATTTTGTTTTAAGATGAAATTACTATCTAGCGGCTTTCTTGATAATTAAATTATATAAGTGTTATTTAACAATAAGTAACCACATCTAAAAGATCAACCACAACTAAAAAATAGTGATTAATTATTTAAGTAACTAAACATAACTATAAATAAAACTGCTATAAACTTAATTTTAAAGTTACAGATGAGTTCTATTTTCAAAACTTTGTACATTAAATGTGAATAAAATTTGCATTTAATTTAATCTCATTGAAAAGACGACACATGACCCCATCTATTTCCCAACACCCGTGATTTTTAACCAGCAGAATTTAATAGAATTAATGTCCCTAATACAAAAACCTCTGTGCATAATTTTAGAACATTTCAAGAAAATGTATAGAAACGATTAAACTTCGAATTAAATAAAGAAAGTCTGTCACACATAGAGGCACACTAATATCAATGCATACAGAAAGAACTCTCAAGTTTTGTTTTTCATTTACACACGTTCGAAGATTCCCGGTGTCCAAAAATGTAAATATCTTTAGTACTAAATATGATCGATTGCCATATATAAACGTTTGTTATACATAACAGCCATGTGAGTAGAATTATTATAAATAATTAATTATGTCAACAAAAAAGCTTCATGCATATCTTATTGTTTTTGTAAACTATAAAAAAATGCTCTTATGCTGTTAGCACAAAATTTTCCAAAACGGTAAGAAGAAACTCTCATCTGAGAATATTCACAGAAGTCAGTTTCACACAAGGGCATATTAAATCTCATGTTCAAAAGCAATGTGGACAATGTCGTTCCAAAGTTGTTTCGAGACAAAAAGAAACTTACACAACGTGGTTCATTCTTCCGCTTACGTTTAAATTTCTGCAATTCACCACTGTATTCCAGGGAAATAAAAATCGGCATGTGCACACTGTTTATAAAACTTCAAGCAATTTAAATAAACTCCATTTATGGTTCCTCTATGTATCGAATTGAAAAACTTGTTTTCATCTTTGGTTCTTGCATGTTTTGAGTTAAAGACCCACTTTCATCCATAGTTCATGCACGTCTCGAGTGGAAGGACTTGCTTCCATCTAACGTTTCTGCATGTTTCGAGTTGAAGGACCGCTTTCATCCATGGTTCCTGCATGTTTCTAGTTTAAGGATTCGCTTCCATCCATGGTGTTTGCCTATTTCTATTTGAAGGTTTGTGTTTTATTTATGTTTGTTGCACGTTTCTTGTTAAAGGACCCGCTTGCATCGATAGTTCCCGCATAAATTGAGCGGGGAATGCTAAATTTTTGTAACATAATGTGCTGCAATAGTTCTTTTTCAGTTGTACAAT